GCTCTTTTAACCCTCAAGGCTTATTGCTTGTATGCAAAGCCACGACACTTGTCTTCTGCTCAGATGGTGTGGTGGTGGGATTGCTGGTGGCACTGGGTGTTACTGGTCTCTTCCCACAGTGACACCAGTCAGGGCTCCGTTGCAGGGTGGTGATTCCTCTTCTAGATTTTGGGACAGCAGGAAAAAAGGTCCAAAAAATTCTGCTACATCTACCCAAGCTGGTGAAATGGCTTTTCCCTGAGCATGTCTCACCTGTCCTCAGAATAAAAGCCAGTGACAGCCTTGTCTGGACATCTTTCTCCTCAGAAAGGGAATGTTGTCCCTCCTCATGTTCACAGCTGTGGGGATCCAGCACAGGTTCGTGGCAGTGCTTGAGGGAGGCTGATGTCCCCCTGAGCTGGGGAAGGGACAGCAGGGGCAGGGATGGGCTCTGTCCTTCAGTGACCCACAGCACCATATGCTGTGGGGGTGGGTTGAGAAGAAGGAAGGGAAGAAGATGGGCTACACAGAAATACAGAGAGAAAATAAATTCAGTCAGAAGAATAGTATGTCAAGAGGCATGAAAAGAAGGTGAAAAAGCTGTTTTCTTGTTTTCCATGGCATTAAGGGACAATGCCCTTTGAGTGCTTTGCTGATCCCCTTTATCACAGGGCCTTGGCAGGGAGCGAGGCACCGGAAGGATCTTTGCTTCCATCCCAAAGGCAGTTTGTAATCTGATTCCTGAAATGGGTCTTCAAGCTGCACGGAAGCTCTGTAGCTTTTTTTTTTTTTTTTTTTTTTCCCTTTAAACAGCTTAGCACCTTTCAAACCTGGCGGAGTGTTCTGGGAGCTGGGCCAGGACTCTGCCCTGGGCCCTACCCCATAGTCCCCATTGTCATGAGATGTCATCTTCTGTCAAAGAGGAGCGAGAGTCATCCCACGGCTGTCCCCCAGGGGTACTGACCAGCCAAGGGCTGCCTTGCCCTTGGTCAGTGGTACAAGGGAGTGGGGAGAAGCCAAGGGATGCTGCAGTATAGTGGGTTGACCCAGAGTCTTGGGTCCCAAGTAGGACACAGAGCTGCTGGTACAAGACTCTGCCTCACTGCTGAGGTCAGTTATCCGTCCTGCTGTGCTCTGCTCTTTCCAGTTTCTAGCAGCTGGTCTTGCACTGTGCGGCATGGATGTACCTGGGGTGTGAAAGCAGCCAGGAGGCAGTGAGCTTTGCCTCAGAGGGCTGGGGTGCTTCTTGCCTTTTTCCCATCCCTCTCTTCAGTCCCCCAAGTCCAGGCATCAGTGTGCAACTGGCTGTATGCGGAGCTTCCTCAAAACCAAAGCTTTGCTGCAGTGGAGAGGAAACCAGCTGCAATCTTGGCCTCTTTTCACAAGACTGTAAGTCAGTGGCAGCTGGGATCCTGTCTAATTAATAATTTTCCAGGGAATAAAAGGCAATGTTTTGTGTTTGGTCTCTGTAATGAATCCATCATTTCTTTAGGTATGATGTGCAGACAGACACGGAGAAGCAGCCGGTGTCCTCCTCGGCTCTGTGTTCATGTCGGTGGCTGGCTGAGCAGCTTCATTCTGGGACGGGAAGCAGCTGAGATCTCTGGTTTCACTATGGGGCCATTCCTTTCCCAAGGGAGACAGGAGACTCATCACTCCTCAGAAACATCACAAAAACTGCTGACCCTGAAAACATGGAGTAATCTGTGATTTCCAGAGTGCCTTCCTTGTCCTTTCCTCCTGCAGCTGTTTCCCAAATGGTTGACATAAACTCGGAACACTTTTGGGTTCACAGAACCTCTACATCAGCGACTGCTGCAAAGGCAGAAACTTTCTCCTCCATGCTGCAGTATGAGAGCTGCAGTGTGCTGCTCCTGGTGGGTTTCCTTCTCCCTTGACTGTTGCCTATGAGCAGCACAGGCTGTGCTGTGGTACAGCACCCCCAAACAAACCCCTTCAGCCCTGTGTCTGGGGACTGCGAGGAGGTTCTGCATAACTTGGTGTTCTTTTCACATATAACGTGTTAGGAGGATCTTCACTGTCACTGGGGAGATACAAGGCCAGGTTTTGGAGTACTTTGGGTATTAACTTGACAGTAGTGGACTAATGGTCAGACTTTATGATCTTAGGGGTCTTTTCCAACCAAAATGATTGAATGGTTCTTTGAAGAAACTGATCAGCTTGAAGCACTCATGGTTGGATGAGGGCAAAATACAATTCCTGTCTTTATCTGTATAGAGACCTGTTTAATATGTCTTGTAACATGCTGGAGCAAAAGAATTACTTGTGAAGAGAGACGTGCTTGTTAAGCATTCAGTGCTGCCCACGTACATAAATTTGTATTTTATTAATAAAGCGGATTTTGCAGGTTCCTCATCCAAATGTGCTGACTGTTTCTTCTCAGTGTATAGTGGGCAGGGTTAGGCTGGCTTTGTTCCTCAGGGCCACCAGTGCCTTTCAAATGCCAGGTGTTCCTATTTGTGATAGAAGAGCCCAGGAGCACCTGGGCCTTGGGTCCTGTGTGTCATCCCCATACCGCTGTCTTACCTGTCCCTGCAAGCAAAACACTCAAATTCAAGCTGCCCTCTCCTTCACAAGGGCCATTATGTCCTTCAGCTCTTTGGTCATTAGGATCTTGGGGCAGACAAGGTGTTGTAGTTAAATGGGAAAATCTTTGCTGTCCAGCCATCCTCATTGCTGCAATCCTTCCTCTGTGGCAATGCTTTCCTAACTTTTTGTGTGATTGTCCTGAAAGCTGGTGATAAACAGTTCCTGTTTGTGGGCAAAGACAGTGCTGAGAACTGTAATGGCAGACTGAGAGAAGAGAGAAAGGGCAGCCCCATTCCTGGCACTATGAAGGAGTGGCAGCTGTAGGATTAGCTGTTTCCCTGCATAACTCAAGGGAAACTTTCCATAAACCACTGGCACCACTCCCCAGTATGAGTTCAGCCTCTGCACTTCTACATTATTTATGTCTTTTCCCCCTAGAGGTCTGTTGCATTGACATGTTCAAGTGCCTGTGAAACACCTGTGCACTTTGAACGTGTCCCTAGTGCTGTCTGCAGGGTCTGCCTGGGTAATCTGTGCCTCTCAGAGCACCTAGAGTGGGGCACTTCAGAACAGAGGGGCATCCACAGTGGGAGAGGAGCACACAGAAAGCACTCTGGCACTCGGCACATCTGGAGATTGTGCCAGTTAGGAAAGGCAGGAGAGGAGTTTTTCGTTATTCTTTGTGTTTGGAGTGACTGATGAGGAGGGACATGGCCAGTGCAGGCTGTTACCTTATGCAGGGTGAAACTGTGCATGTTTTGTTCCTGGGAATTGCCCAAAGGTAAAGATAAGCTCTTTTCTCAGGTCAGTAGCTGTCCCTTAATCACAAGCCAGGAGACTACCAGAGGGCTATGTCTGCCTCTCCTTGCTCCTTACCCGTGTGGGTGAATGAGACCTTGAGTCCTGCTCGCTCCCTCTCTGAGCTGGGATCCTCCAGCAGACCTTGATGAAAAAGCAGAAGGAGAATGCTGGTGTTCTGTCAACCAGCAGAAAGTAGGGTGTGAGTGGAAGAGAGGAGGAGACCTCCATGCTGAGAGCATACTGAATTTCAAGACTTTGGAAAGTTTTTATCATCCCAGAGCAACCAGTTGATTGTTCTCTCTGAACAAACTTGGTTCAACTTCTAGGCAACCGTAAAGAAGCACGGAAGAGCAAATGGTTGACCTGGGGGCTTTGCTGCCTTGTCTGCAGCAAATCTGTATGTGAAAAGCACATGTTGAGGGTTTGCTGCTCAGCAAGGAGCTAACTTGGCCTACAGTCATCCACCATGCTAGTACAGTATTCATTCAAGTGCATAGAGACAGAGAGAAATCCAGCTATGTGTTGTTCATACTGGTATTTTCCAGCAAGGGGATATGGCACACATGGGAACATATCAATACTTCAGCTTTTTTATACCAGTAATTTCAATTTTCTATTTCAGCTAATGTAGAGAGAGAGAGTAAACGAAACTGATCAACAGGCAGGAAAAAAAATCTATAAAATCTTGCTTTGCAGTTCACCCGATAAAGGAAATATATAATGTGTAAACCTTGTTTCTCATGAGGCGGAGTCACATTTGTGTAACTCTGATTCTTCTGTCCCTCACACTGTAATTTTCCCTCACATCACATACCTCTGTCCTAAGCCAGTATAAGGATGGTCAGAACAATGGTTTTTGTTTGTAGCAAGAGAGAAGATGTGTACACTACTTATGCTAGCAACTCTGAACAACTGGAGAACATCTTTATAAATGTATTTATAAATGAATTTATAAAGATAACACCATCTCTGAACTCTCCATTCATTGCACTATTGCCAAACATAAGAAGCTAAGACAATTGAAATCTGCCAGCATGAGAAAGCAGGGAGACCTAATGCTGCCACAGTGACCTGCACATGGATGGTGCTGCACTCACCAGGACTGTGGGACAGACCCCTGGCTTTGTGAGTGACCCCCTTGACTGGTACCCTGAACTCCTTTTCAGCCTGCAGTCAAAAGAGGCTTCTCACATGGGATACCTGAGTCTCTAGGCAGGGAGTAACTGTGCAACTAAATACTCAAAAGCCAAACAGTTTGAATCCCTCTGCTGCTCACACCCCAATGCAACTCATCCACTATCTAATATGTTTGGATGGATCTGTTCCCTCCTGACACCTCAGTCATGGAAAAGATGCTACATGGGCTTTGGGTGAAGAGTCAGCAAAAGCTGGAAGGTCATGGGGAATAGGAGTGCTTCAGGGTGGGCTCCTGTGGATATTTCCATTGGCTTGGCTCAGTGCCATGATCTTCAGTGGTTTGGACTCAACTGGGCCCCAAGCTGGACCAGCCTGTCCAACAGTTCAGGAACTCAGGAGTTTTGTGTCTCATATCAAGGCCCCTGCACTGACTCCAGCTGTAGCCTGAGCTTTCAAGAAGAAAGAGGTTCAGACAGGGGACCCGGTGTTTGGTTTTGCATTGCACTGCCAGACAAGAATATCCTGTCGTTATGTGGAATCACTGAAAACTTTAATAGCATCCCTAAAACCTCCCTCCCCTTCCAAAGCATTTTTCTGGCTCTTAGCATATTAGGGAGTAGCTACAGACTCCCGCAGCACAACTTGCAGGATTGAGTGGTCTTGGCAGAGTAGCTGCAAAGGGCATTGTGTTTAATAAAATGGCTAAACTTTACAGTTAGGGTTTTCCCTATGTCTTGAAGTGAGATTTGGTCTTTGGATGTTAAGTGCTGGGCTGATGAACACAGAAAATACAAACTGGCTCCCTGTGTCCCTCTGGCAGCAAGCAGGCAGGCACTTTTCTCCTGCCCTGGGACACTCGGGGCAGATTCCCTGCAGATTCCTACTGTCCTTACTAAGGAGGCATGATTTGCAGCGGTGCTGGGTGCCTGCAGGTGCTGCCCTCCGCAGGGGCAGTCCCGGTGGCTCAGCACCGCTGGGAATCAGGCGAGGGGGTCCCGGCAAGGGCGAGGGCAGGGGGAGCGGGGCCGGGGGAAAAAGAGGAGCAGTGGTGCTTGCTGATGCTCAAACTTAGGTCTTCCAATGGAGGGACCTGCCACAGGACCAGGGCTCTCGGACCCCACAAGTCAAACTGCACAGAGTCACAGTTAGTCATCATCGTCATCATCATCGTCGTCGTCATCGTCATCATCGTCATCGTCATCATCGTCGTCATCATCATCATCATCATCATCTTCATCATCATCATCATCTTCAGTATTTATCTTCCCAGAAAGCACGTCCTCTATCCAGTCCTCCAGCTCCTCGGCTGTGGGCAGGTCGTCATCGTCTCTGATGTCCATCCAGACGCTGTCAGCCTGTGGGGACAGGTGATGAGGGGTTAGCTGCCCTCAGGGACACAGGGAAGAGGCGGGACAGCTCTTGGGAGGGTGAGGGCTGGAGCAGGCTGGGATGCAGGGCATTGGCTCCTTCTTTCTACAGCCTGTGGGCAGGCTCAGCCAGAGCATCTCTGCCCATGCATTGGGATCCCCACTTCCCCATGGAGGGCTGCTGTGTCTGGCCAGGGGCAATGGGACTGGTCAGCATTTTTATGGGACTGTGTGGTGCTGTGTGCCCAGATGGGATGTGTGCCTGCTGCCTATACCGTGAGCAGGAGCCTGCCTGGTGCATTCCCCACCCTATACGGACGGTTCTGTAAACTCCAAGTCTACATAAAGAGATATCAAAGAGACCTCTGCCAGCACCCACTGCATCACCCCAGTTTGCAGGACATCACAGGGGTTCCCTCCTTCCATCCAGAGCCCTTCTGGGACCTCTTCCTGGGAGCCTCCACAAGCCCCTGTCAGCACTCTTTCTCCCTAACCACTTTTACAATCACCTTTGCCTGAGGACCTTGCTCTGGACTTTCCATGTGTGAAAATGGCTCTTGCTTTTGGAATACTCTTCCCTTAGATCATCTCAGCCATTCTCCCACACACACCATGGATCTCAGCTGAAGACTGGTGAGAAACACCAATGCCCTGGACTGCAGATGCCCCTGCTCTTTCCCTCCAGTTGTCTGCATTACTTCCATAAACCAAAAGGGATGGGTGAATTCAGTAAGAATACAACGACAAATTTGTGACTGTTACCCAGGGACAGCAAGATTATTTGGACTCTGAGGTCTGGAAATGAAAGTTTTGCTCTTTGCTTTGCTATAGTTTCCTTGGGTAAATGCCTGGGTAAGCCCCTTTCTGTTCACTATCTCCCCTCCATAAAACAGAATCAGCCTCCCATTTTGCAGAGGCGCTGTGAGGTTTATCTCATTCAGCATTTGATGTTGCAGAAGCAACTTCAGAAGACAACTACCAGCTCTTGCAAATCCATCCAACTTCTTTACCTGCCTGTGGTATTTAATTCTCTTTGATTTATGGCTTGCTAAAAAGCCAGACCAATTTCTGCTCAAGGAAAGCTGTGTCTCCTATACAATATTTTCCTCCTAAATCATCAAAACTGCAATAAAAAAGAACTCTGGAGAGGCATGCAGTCCTTCCTTCGCTCAAATGTTAATGTCCCTAACCTCAGGACTGTTCGTGTGGAAAAAAGTGACACTTTTAAATAATGGGAAGAGGAGTGGCTCCATTTCACCTCAAGAAAGTGCTGTGCAAATTAAGCAATGATATTTTGCAGGGCATCATGGCCCTAGTCCTGAGCCACAGTCACCACAATGTGATGAGCCAGCTGGGGCTGCTGGGAGCTCTGGTGTTTGCATTGGCAGGTTTTTACAGAAGTGATGGGGTCACAAGGGTTATGTCCACTGAAGCCAACAGCAATGTTTATTTTCACTCTGTTGTCTAAGTCCCACTTTGTACCTGTGTAACTTGGCTGAATACAGTGATGTAACACTGAAATAACAAAATGAGCTCAATATTTGTTTTAGATATCACCTGCCAACCTAGAACTTTCTTAAATCTCTCTCAAGAAATAAAAAAGAGGACTTAAGAGGAATGAAATAAAACCTGCAAACACTGTAATCAACAACCTGAAACATTTACCATATCAAGGCCAGATAATGCATGAGTTTTTACAGGTCTCTTGGTGACTGCTGAATAATAAGGCATATATGTTCTTACCTAATTCTGCTTTCTATATTATTCTCATGCCACTGATAATCCTACTTCCATTGATTGCTGTTTAATGTAGCTTTGACGTGACTTAAACATGACCAGTCACAGTAAATATAATGAAGGGAGATACTGAATTAAGGGCTAGTATTAAGGGCATAAGACTGGAAGACTTGGGCTCTCTTTCTGGGTTGTCCATTCATTTCTCTCATGGTCTTAGGTGACAGGTGCTATTTTGGCCCCTTTTCCTTTTGTCTCTCCCTTAACAATTCTGCTAAGAAGCATTAACTCACTGGGTCTTCACTCTCTAGGTGTCTGCCCCATGGTCTTGTGGAGTACTGCTCTATTAAAGGCAAAAAGCTCACATGCATCCAGGGCTGAAACTACTCCCTGACTCCCAAGTCAGCTTCTCAACTGCCTCAGTGGGATGAGCAAGATCCAGGGGTTCTGCTTTCTTCACAACACCATTGCTTTGCCTTCCCCGCCACATCTCCCGTGGTACAGCCTTGCAGCATCCCTTGTAACAGGAGGCACAATCATCCAGTACCCCCTTGCTGTCCCTCTTCTTCTGGGGCAATACAGGAGAGAGGATGTGGAGGTTGGAAGCAAGGTCAGTATTGAGCCAAACCAGCACCCAACTCCACACATTTTTCCCAATTTTAAGTCCCTCTCTGCTCTCTTCTGATGAAACATCAAGTTCATTTAGGACTCAAATTTCAAACATGAGGTCAAGCACCAATTTACAAACACTTCTGTGGTGAAGAGATTTCTGCTTCCAGAGACACTTACATACACACACAGGTTCATTTTAAAGAGATTAAAACAAACACCCATCACCTAAACATTAAAAATAAAGTAAGGTGATAGTTTAGGCAGGAGCATGCTGCATTACGGGCTCTCTGATCATCTGGATCATTATTGTCAGAAAGAGGAAAGAATGGTTTCTCTCTGTGTCAGAGCTGTTTCATTGCACTCAGCAGCTCTCCTGAGATCTCTAATGGTGAGGGTCAGATGGGTCCCTCTCCCACCTGCCTTAAAAGCTCACAGTGTATGGGCAACCTGAGATCAGTCCCATAGCTTTCTGGCTTGAAGGCAACCAGAGAGAAAACACTAGCTGCTAGAAAGTTGTCCCAGTAGCACAGCTATTGGGTGGGTGCTGTGGGTGCTGTTGCTCCCTCAGCTGTGCCAAAGTAGCACCTGCCCCTGCAGCTCTCCCTCTGCAGCTGCTGCCTGTGGGATGGTGTGGAAACCTTCACTGCCACCAGGTGTGGGGCAGGCAGGTCTCCTCTTCCCACCCAAATCCCACCAGCACTGCATGTACAGAAGTGGCTGAAGGGGAGGAGGGCCTGGATGAACCCCAGGGTACCCTCCTTATGGCAGCAGGATCCCTTGATTACCAGTTTATGCTGTACTTCTGTTGAAGCTGTGTATTTATTTAGCTTTTTTCAAGCTGCGCAGTTTCTCCCTGTGATCTGCTGGGGATAATCTTTCCCTCCTACACTCAAGCTGTGCCCTTTTGCTTCTGTAGAAAATAACAGCCTCCTTTTACTTCTCTTCTCCTCCCCTAAGCATGGCTTTCTTTTCCCCCTACACACACTTTTTCTCCACAAAGCCACCCAAGCTGTCGGAGCAGGGAGTGGACAAAGGTGCGTGCTGTGAATTGGGGTGGAAATGCAAGACCTTGAAATCAAAACTGGGCAAAACCCTGAATCCCAGGCCACAGAGGCTGATACTGTCCCCAGCAGATGTGGTTTGTGTGTGATTTGGCAGCAGAAACACACTCAGACTAGAGCCCTCAAGCCTGTCATCAGAGGTGTTACAAACCCTGTGGCATGTGCGAAGGGTGAGGTCTTAATATTTTTTCCCTGTTCTACCTGCACTTAACAGTGGAAATCCCACTGATTCCAGTGTCCCTCAGGACCCAACCTTTCCAGGACCCTCATTTTGAGATCACTGGATTTTCTGGGCACGTGCTACTCACATCCGTGACGTTCACTATCCCAATCTGTGGTCTGAACAGGTCGATCTTGAAGGTCTTCTCCCAGTAAGTGATGAGCTGCAGGAGTGAGACACAAGGCTCAGTCAGGGGTGCTTGCAAGGTCCTGTTGCATCAGTTCAGTCAGCTGGGCTGGGGAGTGAGGAATGTGCATCCATGTGCGCATGGGAGAGAGGAGAGGCTGAATGCAAACCTGGGCTGCCACGCATGGCAAAGGAAAGTGCCAAATCCAGAGGTGTTCCCTTCTTGGGAGGCAGACCCAAACAAGCAGCTTTCAAGGGGATGGCCTGTGGTCCAGTTTCCTATCCTTCCCTGTCCCAGATTCCCTGGGGCAATTCCTGAACATGCACACCCCCTCATGCCCATCCCATCCATGAGTTAAACCAAGAAAGGCAAAAAGCCTCTGCCACTCACCAAAGGAAAGTCATCAGGGTCAATCCAAACAATGCTCAGGTCGGGATTATCAGTGTTGTCCCTGGCAACCTGCTTCAGGATTTCCAGGAACTCAAAACCATCTGAAATGATATATGAACCACTGCAACTCTCCTACAAATGCACAGGCACTTTTTTTTTTTTTTTTTTTTTTTTTTTTTTTTTTGCTTCTGGGGTTTCCAGCTTCCCTGGCTCCCCTGTGCACACAGGAGTTGTTTATAGTTCTCATTAAAATGCTGTCTCCCAGCGCTTTCTTTTGATAATAAGGCTTTTAATTCCAAGCATCCTCCTCGGGTATTGAAATTAGTTACACATGAATTAAGCCCCATAATCCTTCCGTGGAGTGGAACAATGTCACTATTTTCTTGTGGTGAGGAGGAACTGAGCCCCCAAGAGGCCAAAGCTTTCCGATTTGCTGATGGCTCTGAGAAGCACCGATGCCATGGCTTTTCAGGGGGAGGCTGCTTTGTGTTTCCCACATGCCTATCCCATACCCAGCCCTCAGCACTCTCCCAGAGCTGCACAGCAAGATGGATGCAGACTTAGGGAGTGAATCCTGGTAGTGGGGCAGAGGGAATTATGTTTTTTTTCCCAGGCAATCATCCATGTCTATCCAAAATTTGAGTCCTGGTAGCACACCTGCTAGCATAAACACCCAGTAGGTGTTTACAATGCAAACAAAGCATATGAAAATACACTTTCTTGAAGGATGGAGAGTCATGAAAGGAAGAAAATGGGCTCCTACCTGGGTCATCTTCTTCAGCAAAGGCTACAATGTGAATACCCTCCATGTCATCCTCCTGGAAACAACACAATAATTACTGATGGGCTAGGGAGAGAGGACAGAGACTGCATGGTTGCTGGAGATAGGAGCAGTGGGATGCTTTCAAAAAGGACAATTACAAAGGGAGGCTTGACCAGAGCCTCACTGAGAAACCAGAAATGGGAGCTGAGGGGAGGCTGACTCGTGAAGGTATTTAGTGCTGAAGGGGATAGTCTGGGTAGTGTTGCTGAAACTCTGCAGATAAATATTAGGTGGACATCATTGTGGCAATGGCAAGGTAGCTTCTGATGATGTGAGGCAAAAGCTTCTCTGCAGAAAAGGTCAAGGGCACTCTAGGATGAGAATAGAGGCTGAGGCCACCTACCCTCATTAATTTTCAGCTCCCAGGAGATGATTTGCAAGGAAACAAATATCTGCCACCACGCTCAGCTCCAAAACATGCTCCTTGGGGCCAGCAAAGGAGGTTTTCTGACAATATGAGAGGCAAGGTGGCTCATTTGGGTCCCTATTTGAAGGTGAAGGGTCTCTGCTTTAGGTGAGGGTCTCTGTGAGCAGGGAGGGAAATTGAGCAGGGGGCTCATTTCAGACCTCCAATGAGGGGAGGACAGAAATTACAGCTCGGTGGATTACTTTTCTCCATGAAACACATGAGTAATGATATTGGCAAAGGCCAATGGATCTGCTGGCCAGTTCATCATCTGCCTGCTATGAATGTCATCTCTGAATTATCCCATGGATCGGTTTCGCCTTCCTCACCCGCTGTCGGTCCCAGTCTCTATTTCAATTGGTTTTAATACAAGAAAAAATTCCCATCTAAATGCTAATTTCTTTTCCCTTCGGAGACCAGAGGTGACAAAGCCACCATCAAATAGTGAAAGAGAAAAAAACCCTGAAAGATTAAGTGGAAAACATTATCTTTAAAAACAATAGCGGATGCTCAGCCTTTGTGGACGTCTTCAGGGAATATGTTTTCACCGGGACATTCCAGGCAGATTTATTGGGATTCAAACCACTTACAGCTGGCAAAATTCACACTGTTGCTTTTTCTTCATATTCACCAGCAGCATTGTCAGACAGCAAAATAAAAACTATATATCTATATGCCATATATAATTACATGTATCTACTGATATAATGAAGCTCTATTCTGGCCTACAAGGCAGCAAACAAAACAGGACTAACTCCAGTGAAGGCAGTGAAGATGTTGTGAACTGGCAGTGAGATCAGAATCCAGCCCCCTGTCTTCTGTAGTTATGAGCCCATTGCTTCTAGCAGAGGCAAGCTGTGTATTCCCAGGCTGCTGGTTGAGCAAGAATCCCACCAATGGGAATTCACACTTTTCATGAGGCTATTTTAGAATATGGTCCATATGAAAGTGAAACCTCTGCACGTGTAATTTGGGTCTCACTGAAACACCATTAAAAAACCTTGGAGGGGCTTTGGTGGATCTTGGAAGCTGTTTTCTATAAAGAATCTGTATTTCAAAACAAAATGAAAAGCTATTGTGCCTAAGTGACTCATAACTCCTGGTTCAGCTTTATTACCTCTTGCCTTGCTGTATTAAAGACTCCCAAGGTTTTTGCCACTTTGGAGTCCTGTGGTGTTTCATGTTACACAGCCAAGATGGGGACATCTAAATGCTGTTGTAAATGTGTCAAGTCTTTTGGAAGAATGACTGCATCTTCCTTAGTGTCTGTAAAGCACCTGTTCAGCTTTGTTTTTCAGCATTCCTCTGGCCCTTGAGAGCCCCTGACTAGCTTTCAACACCATATTCACTCAGAGCGAAGGGATAATTTGTTATACACAATTTTTCTTTCATTTTCACCCTTCTCTTCCCCACCTGTGCAGACCTCGAGATCCTCTGTGTGCAATGGGGGACAAAATCCTGGTTAGTTCTTCACAGTTGCTGATTTGCATCTTGTTTGCACTGTGAGAAGTGCAGTCAATGCACGATCTGCTTTGCAATCTGTATAATTAACTGTACTGCCTGCCTTCACTTACGTTTTGAATGGTACAGCTGCTCTGGGACTTTTACGAGGATGTGTAGTGATAGGATAGGGGTGGATTTAAACTGAAAGAGGGTAGATTTAGGTTGGATGTTAGGAAGCAATTCCTTACTGTGAGGGTAGCGAGGCACTAGAACAGGTTGTTCAGAGAAGTGTTGGATGTCCCAGGCCCTGGAAGTGTGTAGGGTCAGGTTGGATGGGGCTTTGAGCAACCTGGTTTAGTGGAAGGTGTACCTGCCACAGTAGGGGATTGGAACAGATGATCTTTAAGGTCCCTTTGAACCCAAACCAGTCTATGATTCTGTGAGTTTCCATGAGACATCTGCAAGATCTCCATAGCTCACCCAGTGAGCAGGCCACAGAAATCACCCCACCAGCAGCTCTGGTGTCCTCAGCACCTGGCTGAGATGGAGCATCCTTGGTCAGGATCACTACACTGGCCCCACAGTGCCTGGCACACTGCTCAGCTTTCCCTCTTCCTCCTGTGAAGCAAGCAGGAGCCAGCCCAGCTCTCCATCACTGCTGCACAAAGCCTTTGAGCACCCTGTTTGAACTGAGGCTCCAGGCAGTGCAGACAAGGCTTTCCCTTTTTCCCAGAAGAGAGAGAGTAGCTTTGCAAGGAAGGAAATGTTATGTTTTGCCCAGGTAGAGGCTAGAGCTCTTTAGCAGCAGTTTCTTTTTGGAAGCTGGCAGGGGACACGATGGTTCCCATCCCATGTGCTTACCCACGTCTCAAACATGTCCTCTGGGCGCAGCTTCCTCAAGGTGGCTCTGAAAGGAAGACAGAAATGTTCTTTGAGGACATATCCAGCACTGCCACATGTGACACTGTCAGTAGCATGGGAAAAGTCACCATGGCACATTTAGCTGGTCGCTGGAGCTAGCCAGCACATTTTGAATGCAAACATGAGGGCACTGTAGGTCAATTTATGCTTTTATTTTTGGTGATAAAACCCTGCCCATGGCCCCGCTGAAGTCACTGCAGACACTGTTTCTGCTTGGGAAAATGAGACACCTCCCTGTGCTGGGATGTGCTGATGAATTAGTCCCACACATGGCAGACTGTTCTGTGCTGCCACAGCTCTCTCCACAGAGAGGAGCAGGCACAACTTTCCCAGGCATTGTCCTGGGGAAGGCTATGAGAAGATCAGAGAAAAGAATAAGAAACAATTCTTATCTCCACTTGCTGCACCTGTTCTTGTGCACATGTGGAATATGTTATGGAAATTTGTTTGCTAAAGGGTGATTTCTTAAATGGTCACTGGTGATGGTATTTGGATTTCAAGGACCAATCTGGTCTGTCTGTATCTGACAGTCTGGAAGGATGATTAGTTTCTTAGTAAGTATAGTATGGTAGAATAAAGTGATTGATCAGCCTTCTGGAATCATGGAGTCAATGCTAATTATTACTCAGCTGGAGGCCTGTGACGACAATTCTGTCTGTGCTGAGAGCATGAGACCACATTCACTTTTTTTTTTGGAGTCTCTGGAACATTCCTAATGGGCTCTGTCCCCCCTTTCTCCTGGTTTCAGAACAGAAATCTTTCCCACCTCTGCTAAAACAAAGAAGACAGAATTAATTCTGGGAAGAAAATTTGGATCCTAACAACCACTGACAAGAAAATTTAAACCCTAATTCTGGTCAAAGCAATTTTTTTGGAGAAGTAGTTCATAAAGGAAAAAAGATTAATTTTCAGACTCAGCTGTAGCAGGAAGCCTGGCAGACTGTTGACTGGTGTTAGAGGAACACCCAAGGAACACAAAGCCATAGAAGACAAACACAAATCATCCTTTGCACATCTGCTTGCTGTGGTATCAGCTGTTTGGAGAGGATCCCCCAGCAGAGCAGGTCTCCCTGGCTGACCTGCCCCAGGACCTGCTGCAAAGAGAAGTGTCAGTGTGTGAGGTTTTAGAACAGATTGGTAGGAGTGGTAGCACGTTGGCAGAAACAGGTGGAATAAGTGAGATGTCACTTCAGTTTGCCTCACAAACAGAGCAATGGAAACAAGGGAACATTTTTTAGAGGCTCCTGAAGGACCTGAGGAACCACAGAACTGAGTTCCAGTTAGATCAGAGGAGGAGAATCTCCTGTGGATAAATAACACTGAAAGGTGGAAATGAATGGTCAGCCTTCACGACAGAGGGAATTTACCAATTAAGATTCATAGCATATTCTTTGGCATGATCATATGCATAACATATCCTCACATAAGCTGAAAAAGGTGGGAAATAGGAATATGGCAGCATTTGCCTATCATATCCAATTCTTTGGCAACCAACAAAGGCCTGACTATGAGTTGATACAGAAGATCTCCTGAGACTTGAGTGTCTGCATGATAGACAGACATATAGCAAGTAACACACTTGCAGAAAATCAGAGCTGATTGTACAGGTGCAGCAATTTGTTCTAAATTAGATGTAATTAATTTTTGCCTCTCAGGAAAGGGGCCCAGGTGTCACAAATTGAGAAAGGATCAGCTCCAAAGGAAAAAGGCCAAAAGAAGGTTGCAAACAGTTGGGAAATGGCCAAGGACTAAAACAGACCATTATGGCAGTGGACAGCCACACTGTGAGTCTCCATAGTGAAGTTATCTGCAGTTCTGGTCATCCCATCCCAGAAATGATATGAACAACTGAAAAAGGCAGTTGAAAATGTGGGAGTGGTAAGTGAAAGTATGGAAGGACCTCTATTTGATGAAGACTAAATAGATAATAATTCTTTATCTTGTGGCAGAGATGACTGAAGAGGGTTTTGGCAAATATGCTAAAAAATGGGAATGGTAAAGAAAACAAGAATTGTTTAGAACATGGCCAAGGCTCTAATAATGTCAAGGCTGCAGATTTGATCCCTGCACAGGCCATTCACTTAAGAGTTGGACTTGATGATCCTTATGGGTCCCTTCCAACTCAGAATATTCTGTGATTGTCTCCCTACCTTAAGTATTAATCATTGTTCCTCTTAAGAAAGAGATAGTAGGTGCCCAGAGATATTATTAGGTAGCAGGTATAAATGAAAAAAAAAAAAAAAGAATGGGCTTTTGATAACAATGCATATTTGAGCTGCTGAACTCATTGCAATTTGGTACATTCAGCATCAAAACAGAAATATGGTAAAAACAGCTGTAGAAATTGAAGAAATAGCCACTAAACACAAAATCAGGGATACAGTTTTTGAACCAGCAAATCCTTTTATTGTTGATGATCCAAAACTAGAGATTAAATCAGGTGAATGCATATTATGTATTTAGGCTTTTAAGATACTTTTCCTAGCTATTCTCTGGGGAAGCTCTTGGAGAAAGGAAACTCAGTGGGAAGGATCTGGCCACACCCATGCGCGCTGATGGCTGTGTTGACTCTGGACACTTCCCTGAGTTGGAGAAGTGAAGCAGCTGGGGTTTGGGTAAATAAGAGAGAGAATTTAGCCCCCATGAGGCTACACCACAACTGCAGAGAAGTGGGGGTCCAACCCTGGCATTTTGAATGTGAAAGAGGCATCAACCCAGGGGACTGTACCATGTAATTTGTATTTATGCAACTGAGAGTGAAGTCTTGGCTGAGACCTTGGAGTGGCAGTGATCACCATGCTCAGATGGCCACCCATCTGTGCAGCCTTGGGTAGGTCACCTCACGGTGCTGAGCACCAGCTTCTTGACATTCTTCTGTGGAGAGGATGAACTTTCCCCCCACAGCCTGCAGCTGCCCAGCTGAGCTGTCTGTAGGGAACCAGCACATGGCACCTGCTGAGGTTGCTTCATTTTCATCTACAAATCATCTCCATGTCTGACTCATTCCAGCCTGTGGCTTTAGGTCCTTTACTGGTGGCAAGGCAGGATTAAGCACTTCTGCTCTAAGAAGCTCAGCATGAAGTACTGGAAACATAAAGCTGTCACACCAGGCTTCTTCCCCTGCCATGGAGCACCTTGGCCGGTTTGGGATTTCAGACATATTGTTTTATGAACTCCTTTTAATTATTTTCTGAGCTTTGGCACTTGCAAAATACATGCCCACTCCCTTGCTTCTACCAAGCATCACAAAACATCCTGAAATATCTAAGACTTGGGGAAATTCCACTGCAAGTTTGTGCTGGTGAAGAGTTTGCCTTATCAGGATAGAATTTAGATGGCTATATTTAATCAGCCTTCTGATGCTGCTTGACAGAAAGAGCTTGGAGAAAAGAAAATGGGAAGGACTAAGGCCAAGAAGCCTAGAAGGTCAGCAACGTGAATTGTGGGTACATGGAAGATAGAGGAGCCCTTCATATTTCAGAAAAAGCAGAGAACTGTTTCTGGTGAGTCTCAGATTCTGAAGATGATCTCCTGTCTGTGTCAACACAGACCTCCAGCTGAGCCTGATTTGACATGTCCCCTCTATATAGATGGCCCTGCTTTCCTCAAACTCATCTGGCCCCTTGATTGTCTGCTGAGAAGTGCAGTTGTAGGAGCAGCAGGTAGCCTGTGTCACTCTCCTGAGAGGTGTTTCTAAGGGTATAAAAATACAGCACCTCCAGGCAGTTGTGCCCCTCTACTTAACCCTCTGCTTTTACACAGGATCAGCCTCTCCAGTGACTTCCAGACTATTTTTGTAGCTGAGTCCCTAAGCAACTGTGCAATAAACCTGATTGCAAAAAGCACGAGCATCCACAGCTCCTGCAGAGTTGATCAAGCACTGTAGGTGCTCAGCATCGTTCCTACATAAGCCATGACAGCTGTGGCTTCTTCTCTGTGCCTAGAGTCAGCAGGAGCCTCTTAGTCCATTGTGGCTCCTGTGAGTTTGGTCTGAGCTGAGAGATTGCCTCCAGACATGTCTGACATTAGGAGAGTAATACACCCATTAGTAAAGCTGCTTTCGGGAAGGAGGAGATTGGACAGGATTTGGATTTGGCTTGAGAGGCCTTGGAGAGGGTCATCTTCTGTACAGAACTAAATTAAAAGCATGGGCAATTAGGGCGAGGATTTCACTCTCAACTGCCTTCCAGCTTCACTGCTTTTTGAATGAGGACTAACCAGGGAGGAGGAAGAGCAGGAGGAGGGAAGCTGTGTTATCCCAGCTCCCTTGTGGTGAACTATTACTGCTGCAGATACTTGCACCTCTGGGAATAGGAAAAAACCAGCAATTTCACAATTTCAAACCTGGGTCAAAAAATCATCAAAAGTGTCATCATCCTAATGTTTTTTGAGAGTGATGCCCTAGAGAGGCAAGGTCACAATGACAGACACCTTAACCCTGTTCCCTTTTCTAGGAGCATCCTGTATGCTACGTACCTTCTGTGCTCTCTCACAAAATCAACCAGCTCCTCTTCTGAGTAAGGCTTATCAGGGATGTGAACAGGCTCATCCATAAAGGGTTCATAGAAGTCCACCTCGTTCATCTTTAGGCCCAGCTTCTTGGCAACCTGTTGCAGTGCAGAAGTCACAGGTGAGAGAGCCTGATGTGCCTCTTTGCCTACCCAGAGTCTTTTCTGCTGGCAGAGCTGAGATCAAGGTGCTTCTCCCAGAGCATGCACTCCTAGGGGTGGCCCACAAAGTAGAATGGATCTCTCCTTATTTAAAAACCCACTGATGCCCCCTACACTACTGGTGTCAAGCAGTGGGGCAGAGCAAAGCCACAGCCCAGATTCTGCTGACCTAGAGGGGCTGGGTTCCAAACCCACATCAGAACCTGCCTCCATGCTGCAGAAATTGCCTTTTGTCTTGCAACAGGGCCAAAATATCAATGCAGACACCAACACCACAAAATCCCTGAATGCTGAAAATGAGAAGCTAAAACCAGAGAATAGATCTGGGAACATCCTGAGCTCTCAGCAAACAGGTGGTGGCATATGTGAGCTACCATGAAGATGTGTGGATGCTTACCCCTTTGTCAAAGGTGGCAAAGAACTTGACGTAGGGCTGGAATTGTTCAGCAGCTTCTTCAAATGCCTTGAAATCTGGAAGGAGAAAAGGGGAATGAAGAAGATATTTCAAAGACAGCTGGCCACACTCTGATCAGCCCAGAAGATATTGAGGGAAGAACAAATACAAATTACTGCAAACTCCATCAGGTGATTGCCCAGTGTTTCTTCCACCCTTCTGGGGTTTACAAAGAAGAATGATTTCATGTGCAGCAACCAAACGTGCTTTGCAGTCCTACAGGGAAGCTACAGAACCCAGCATGCCACACTTAACTGGGGCTGAAATCAGCAGCTCTGTGAAGCAGGTCCAGGAGTAGTTCAGCCTGGGAAATACATGGAGTTGCTCCAGCATTAGGGATTGCTGCCATTCCATAAACAGTCACCAAGTGTGATCAGGCAGGCTTCTCCCACTGCAGGAGGATGGGGCAGGAGCCAGGTAAGTTTTGCTGTAACTGCTACCAGGTCCTCCTGAGCCTCAGGGTTCAGGAAAGATGCTCTCAGCCTGGCAGGGGATTTTGCAACAGGCATTTCCCACCTTCCTTCCAAGTAGTTATTACTGAACAGTGTTAGGGTCACAGCCCTGCCCAAGCTGCCCTGCAGCCCAGTTTGAGAAAGATGAAGGTAGAGGTGGGTGGGCTGTTGTATCGCAGACCTGGTGATATGTGGCTTGTTTACCGAGGAACACCTGTCCTTCTGCTAAGAGCAGGACATGCCAGAGTGGGGTGCACACTGCTAGCACTGCCCAGATAGCAGGGAGAGCACCTGGGGCTGTGGGGCAAGCACTGAGGGGCTTCACAGGATGATTCTCATGTGAGAATTTTTCTAGGCTTGTGAAAGTTGGGTTTGCCCAGAATGGTCCCTGAGCTGCACATCCCTCAGGGCATGGGACCAGCCTCTTCCCACTCTTAGGGCTCAGCAAGGAGGAACAGGTCAGTGCCTCTGCCAGGCTGCCAAGGGCCCTGCTTACTGCTGCTGTATGTTTGCTATGGTATAGTATTTAATGTGTGTCCCCCTTTCCCTTCCCTCCTTCTTTGATCCTTTGGGCTCACTGCTCACAAGAAGGGGCACTTTGCTCCTTTTAGTTGCTTCTCACAGTGTAACTGTGCGTAACTGAGCTGCTCTCTCAGCTGATTTTTGGGTGAGGTAAACTCACGTTACTGCAGGAGCCCCTGGATTATGGCCCTCCTCTCTTGCCAGCAGCCACTTTGCAGAAGGGTCACTGATGTTGGTGTAGGACTGGGCTCATGCATTAGACCAGCAGAAATTTGCCTGCAAATGCACTCATCCTCCAGCAACTTTCACTGTCACAGGCTGCCATATACCACACCTTCATGTTCGTGCAGAACAACCAGTGCCCATCCCCTAGATCTCCCGGGCAGGCTCCAAGGAGGAACATGTTTATCTTACGTTCTGAGTCTTCTCCCTTGAAGTAGCCGATAAGTTTGATTTCATCATCGATCTGGTCAAAGGCCTGAAGCTCCAGCTTGCTGTTTATGACCTCCACGGGGTCTTCTAGCAACTGCCATGACAAACGCATATGGTAATGCAGTGATTTGCAGCACCAACCTATGCCTGGCAGGGTGTGTCACAAGCAGTCTAAGCAGGGAGAAAGAGGTCACCCAATTTCTCTGCTGTTGGAAACCCTACTTAGTGCTCTCTGCCTTAATGTGAGGAGCCGAGAGAAGAGGGTCACCTTCAAAGGGAGATGTTCACTGCAGAGGTGGAAGCATCGAGAGGAGGCTGGTAGAGGACTGGGTAACCCAAATGAATGCTGAGGGACCTACTTTGATGAGGGATGAGTAGCAATTGCAGCTGGCTTTAAGGAGGCCAAGTTGAAAGGAGCTGGTGTGATCATTGTGAACATCTATGAATGATACCTGTGTATCTAAATCTATATTTTTTTTCAAGTGTCATTTGCTGGAAGAGGTCATTGCAAAGATCTTGCTTTTGAAAAACATTAAAACCAGCATGCTGGAGGGTAGCCAAACAGTGGTTTGGAGCAGTAGAAAGTCTGGATGTGAATTTTCCTGGCTGGTCCTCCTCCTGTGCAAAATAGTTACAACCTATTCTTTGGTCCTGCACACATCACAATGTTAATGAGGAAGTTGCAAGACCGGTCTGGCACTTCAGACTGTCATTGATCCAAACTTTGTTTCTCTTTTCTTAACTAGTCATTGCTAGTGAAAAGGTTCAGTCTGATTATTTTGCCCAGCAATAGTGGTATAAATCAAGTGTGTTTTCACTAGGGAAAAAAAAAAACAAAAACAGGCAAGCCACTGCCTACACAGGAGTAGAGAACCTCTGGGTTTCTTCTGCTTTTCAGATGAGGCTGCCAAGGCACCACAGATGTGTCTGGTTTTATTTTCTTGCTTAGCCAGGTATTTTCTTTTCTGAGTGGAAAACACAAAACCAGAAATCCTTGCTCTCTTTCTTTTTTCACAGAACATGATTTTTCAGTGACACAATGTATAGCATAGCAAGCAAAACCTCATGAAGTGCCTTACAGCATCCTTGAGAGTGATGCTGTGGTGTGAGGCTGTGCCTTTGCTGAGCCTGCAGCAGCATGTGCAATTTCCTGCTGCCATAGTGGCCTGAGCTATGGGAACCTGGGATCCCACTGCTGCAGGGTCATGGCAAAGCTCTTCCCTGCCTGTGGTCCTTATGGGTAGGGCCCATAAGTCCCTGAAGCCACCTGCATGTGTTTTGGTCACTATACCTGGTGCACACAGCCCCAGACATTGTCATGGGAGAGCTGAGGTCCTAGGGATCTGTTTTAATTCCCCGGCCATGCTTCTCCTCACTAGCAGTCCTGAACCACAGGTGACTGTGTAGGCAACCAGTCACCCTGGGAAACAAACCCTGCCAGCTCTGCTGATCACCTTACCTCCCTTATCTGCATTACTGCATGGCCACTTAGAAAGAAAGCCTCACTTCAAAGGAAAGCCAAGCCACTGCAAAATGTTTTCATTTATAAAGCAAAGACCATGGGTTTTGTTGCCTCTCCTAGGAATAAAATGTAAATAAAGAGAAGTGTGACATGTAGATGTGGGATTCAGCATCACTTTGCATTTAGGCACAAAGGTGAGTACCTCATTGTGCCCATGCACAAAATGACCCAGGACCATTTAGTTCTAGGACCCTGATCTCCTCTCATTTGTGGCAGTGCAATTTGGCAAGTTCACTGAAGAGATGCTATGTTGATTATGTCTAGAAATGGGCAAATAATTTGCAACATAAACCTTTTTCAATGCACTGAGCTCTTTTTAGTTGCTCTATGAGAACCCTACTTCTTGAATATTCTTTTTTTTTAAATAGCTCTATTCAAAAGAAAAAAATAAAGAAAAAGCATGAAAGATTCTGCAAATGGCGAAGTGTTTTCACACAAGATTACTAACTGAGGTGGGTGAACAGCTGTCAGTTATAAGGATTGTAGCTGATTTCCATTCAAATACTCTATATAGGAAAGAGGGGAGGTTGTCTCTAAGATATAAAGTATTTAGTGGTATATAAGGGTACCACATTTCCTGGGAGCTCATGGTCAGACAGGTATTGGGGAAGATGCCAAATGCCATCTCTACCAGTGAATAGCAAACAGGGATGAAATTTCAAACAAAGGTACACCTGGTTTTTTTTAGCAAACTAAGTATTTGCAGGCTCTTCTCTGAGAGGTTTTATCTAGCTCTGAGCTTATCTGTGCTTACATCCAAGAGGAATTCCACCAAGACATCTGCAGACAGTTCCCCATCAAATTCAACCAACCGCTCGTCCTTAAAGACATAGAGACTTCCCTCTTCAAGCAAGCCTGAAAGAAGAAGAGAGGAAACAATAACTGGTTAACATGTTGTTGAAAACATGTTTAGTGCAGAGTGTCTTCCTTGTTATCCCAGCAATTCTTCCTGGAAAAATGCAATTTCCAGTTTGCTGTGTTGGTCTAGTTAGAAACAGCCTGAATAATGACACAGGGGACAGAACCAGAACTGGTGCTAACTTCTTCCCAAATGTTGAACTTTTCATTCAGGTCACAGTTTGGTCTCAGCTGGAGAAGTTCTGCACCAGAAACTTGTTTTAGCTTGGCTGTCTATCTTGCAGTAAATACTGGGCTCCAACTGGCAGCTCAGATTTTAACAACCTGTCACTATATGGAAATTGGATTTTGATTCGGGTTGTGCTCACTGTCCAGAGAAGGCTGAACTATGTGAGCATCACCAGTGACCTGAAAGTGAGCTTCAAACTGTCTGAGGCTTAGCTGGCCTTGGCAAAAGGGTTAAAAACCAATGATAGGGTTAAAAACCACAAACTGCAGGGTGACAGATTTCAATGCTCTGTCACCAGAGTGAGGACCAAGTGCCACAGAACCTTGTTGGAGGCTCCAAAATCAACAGCACTGGTCTCCTGCGATGCAGGATGGCAGGGTACCACTGGCCGAGGATGTTGGTAGTTTGTTCCTTTTTGGAGAGGCAGAAGCTCTTGTCTTTAGTTTAGCTCCCATTAGCACTCACAGCCTCCAATTTAAGAAAGAAAATGACAGTCCAATACGCTTAAACCTTAGGTTTAGTGGTATATTTGTGTACTGTTGTATTAAGGTGGCACAGTATTTCCATATTGCTTTGTGGCTAAAATATGAAGGGAGCTTCCCCAGGAAGGCAGCTGTGTCCAGGGGTGAGCAATGCAGCACCCTTCCACCTTTAGAGCAGACTTCCTTTTTCACTCTGAGGAACAAGCCAGAGTGATTGGCACCTGACTGCCAAACCACTTCAAGGCTGTGGCTGCCCCAGCTGTTGACAGGGGTCACTGGGTCGTGGGGCTGATGACATTTGGGGGATTAAGTGTTTTCCCTGTATGTTCTGGTTCTGCACTGCTGTGTCGGTCCTGTCTTTGTGTTGGAAGAGCAGGAAGTTACTCCATGGCACCTATTTACTATTTCTGCACAGAAAGCTGTGAACTTACACCCTGTCATCATTACAGCATGAACTGACTTTCTTTTTCACTTCGTTTGGTTTTTCTGGAAGGGTCTTGGCTTGTCTCTCTCATCCTCACCCCTGCCCCTGATCCTGCCCCTCTTGGGATGGGCAGGTGGTCAGTGTGCAAGTGCCACCATCATCCTCCCCATCCTGGTAACAAGGATTTGGCTGATGGGACTCCCATAGACACATCACTCCCACAGTCTCTCCAAACTATTCCAGAGATGTCAGACCTGGGACTCACCTAACTTTTTGGCAAGCTTGGCATCCTTCTTGGAGTCCACCATCCCAAAGCCAATGCTCCTGGGCTCCAGGACCTGAGCTGCCAGCTGTGGGAGGAAGCAGAGAGCCCAACATTAGTAGTGTTAGCACCACAGGGTAGCTAAAGGGCATCATGCCCTGCCAGCATGACATGACAGACACAAGTGACCCATATTCTGCTGTTGAACAGCACCAATGGGTGGGATGCGTCACATGCTGCCTCGCTGCTGAGATACCCAGAGGTCACAAGGGTTGGGTTTCTTCCCATTGTGTTGCAGCAGGGAGTTTGCTGCACTACTGTGTGCTGTTTGACACTGGCCTCAGGAGAGGGCTCCTGAGTGAACTGGGAGCACCAAAGCAGGGGGGATGGCTGGAAGGAAGTCCTGTGCCACCAACACAGGTGGCCTTTCCTCTGTGGTGCCTTGGTGGCCTTCTGCAGGGTGTGTGATGTGGGCACCATGGACATTTTAACTCTGGAAGTGCATGGTGCCAGGCAGCAGTGTGTACAGGACTCTGCAGCATCATGTTTTCTTCCTGCATGTGGTGGGCTGGCCAAAGCAGGCTCCTTTTCCTATAAAGTGCTTGAAGTCATGCCTCCTTCAGTAAGCCCCTAGATCCTGGTCCCCTGTTTTTACTAAAGAAATGCATCTTAGCCCAGCCATTCTTATGTTCACGTTCTCACAGCTTTGCAAAACCACTGCACCCTATTCCCACCATTTTTGATGAAGGGGCCTCTTAAAGATATCGAGTTCCTGCCTGTTTTGTGAAAATAGATATGTGAGGAAAGGAGAGACGCTCTGAAAGGGCCTGGTGGTGAGAGCGACCCCGGGTGAGACCCTGTGAATTCCAAATTGGCTCCTAGAGATGCACTGACGCTGGTAAATGGATCCACTTATGCACTGGATGACTGACAGCTCCACCACAAGCATACTAGAGACCCTACAAGGTAGTAATGATGCTCTGAGAACCACCAAGCAGCTGTAAGAGCTTTCTCCTCCTCCCTCTCCCTTCCTGCTGCACAAATGCCTCTGATGCTGATGGTCTTCTTGCTGCTCCTCCTCCCAGCCCTGCCGGATGGCGGGGGATGATGGAGATGAGGGGTCAGGAGCCTCTGGGGCAAGAATGTCCCTATTAGGGCACAGCTGTCAGTGCTTGGCAGCAGGAGGCTGGAGGGGGGCAGAAGAAAGCCATGGCCAGAGAGATGGTGGGTTGATTTATGAGGAAGCTCCCCCCCCTGCCCCAGCTCATTTTGGCTCCCTCCCCCAGACTCAAAGCCAGTTTGAATGTCACCCAGCAGCACTGCCACCATGGCCACGTGGTCCCTTGGCTCCCCTGCTATAAATAGCTTCTGCCCGTGCCAGGCCTCTGTGAGAGTGAGCCGTGATTAGAGGCTTTGGGGGGCAAAAGTGGTGGGTGCTGCCACCTCATCTGTGCAACGGGGTATTGTAAAATGCAGTGGGAAGAAATTATGATGTTCAACTCTAGTTCAGAAGGCTGAATGATTTCTTTATTATAACTATGCTATAATGCATTAATTTACTATATAAAGGAAGATCCTAAAACTACATACCTGCTTTCTAGCTACCATCTCTAACACACAACTCATGACCCTGTTCATGAGAATCCCAACACAGGTGGATTGGATTGGCCATCAGGCTCAAACAATCCTCACCAGAATCCAATCAAGCAATCACCCCTGGTAAACAATTCTCCAAGCACATTCCACATGAGAAAAACAAAGAAGAGAAACAGAAAATGTTTTCTCTTTCTTCTCGCTGTGCACCTTTATGAAAAATCCTGAGAGAGAGAAGAATGTCCCTGTGACAATAGGGTGTCATGGAGCCAGCCAGCTCCCTGTGCTGTCAGCCTGTCCCTGAAATTCTGGGGGATGGTGGCAGGCACCCTGGTGATCAGGGCTCAGGGACCTTGCTTGAGCAAAAAGGAGAGATGGAGAAGGTAGTTGTTTTCCCCCTTCCACCAATTACATGTCCTCAGGGCTGTCCCAAAGGCCTCCAGGGGGAAAAAAGACTCAACTGACCACCACAGCATTGCTGCAGCCTTGATCCCCCTGTAGCCACCTGCCCTGTTTGTCTTTAGGGACAAATGCCACCATGGGAGGCAAAAGGGGTGCCTGTGTTACACAGGAAATGGGTCTCAGTGCTCTTTCCCTGCTCTTTGCCAGTGCTTTGAAGTGAAGGTAGGGCTGCAGATTCAGGGCTTGTTCTTACAGTGGACAGTGTCTGAAAGGGGCAGAGCACTGGTTTGTGTTTGCACATCCATTAATTAGGCTGATAAGGCACTGGTGTGGTTTGAATCCCATCTGGTGGCTCAGGCTACCTTAGAGCACCTGAGAGCAGCTGGAGCCCCATATTTGCAATGAGAGATGGATACCTCTTGTGAGGTATCTAGACACCTGCAAGTGAGCTGTGGTAAGAGAAGAGATTTTCTGTTTCCCTTTATGGAGATCTGCCCTGACTGGACAAAAGGATGGAGCCTGTAGGATCATCAGCTTTCTGGGACATTGTCAGCACATCCCTGCTTGATGGTGGTTTTGTACACCAGCAAGAGGTTCCTGACAATCACCACTTGAGGCTCTGGCTGCTCTGTGACTAGAGGAAAACACAGAATGGCCAAGGGAAGAAGACTTGTTCAGTCATGTCCAGTCCAGTCCATACATGATTTAGTTACAGTTATGTCAGCCACGTGCCAGACACAGGGCAGTTTAAGGCAAATAGTTCTTGACTCCTGCACACAGGAGATGGTTAGGGTTTCTTTTGAGTGTTTGAAGGTCAGAAATATGCAGAAAAGCTGCAACACCTGCTACAGACAAGTGGTTGGATGTGTGCAAGAGAGGAGGCATTGATCAGGAGTCATGTATGTCAGCATGCAGCACACACAAGGCAGCTCTTTGGAGGGGTGTGGGTGCAGTTCTGTAGCTGCAAGCATGGAAGCTTGCTGGAAAAGAGTAAGACTGTCAAGAAAATGTGGGTGATGTGATGAAAGCCTCTTTGTGTGAGACTGTGGGAGTGCTCAGTAGTCAAAAATGGTCTCAGTAATGCTGGAGGTGTTCCTGTTTGTTTGGCAGGGCTTGTGTGAGTGTGTCTAGCAAGACTGTCTCCTGGAGGTGTATGTATAGTGGGTGTGAGTGTTTGGAGGTGTTCCTCTGAAAGGCTCATCCCGAGATGTGCAACAGTTTGGGCATATAGGAGAGTGCTTGTGTATGGTGTGTGAGTGTGCCTGAGGGGGCAGAGCTGGGAGCTCAGTGGGCAGCCTGCCTCCTCTGCAGGGACCTTCATATCAGGGAGACAATGAGGAGAACAGAACAGCCTGAGCTCCTCTCCAGAGAAGGGTCTCACAACAAGGAGGTCTTTGTGCAACATGAGACTTTCGGGAGCCCTTCCCGTTGTGGCAGAGCCTGGAGGCAGGAGCCTTTGCAGGGTGTTTATGGTGGCTTTTGCAAGTGCAAGCTATGCAGGGGCTGGGCACTGCTCCTGGCCTTGCTTTCTCTGCTTTCCACTGCAGCAGGTGAGTCTAACCCGTGCATAGGTGACAATACATTCCCACACCTATATTTGAACCCCAAAAGGCAGCAAAATATGGAGCATGCCAGAGGCACAGCAGTTTGGCTAATTTCCCCCTACTCACTACAGTATCAAGCATTTATATATCCCCTTACAGTATTTTCTGATTCCATAATGCTAGTGGGATTTGAATGCAGATAATGTTTCTAATCTTGACAATCCTCTTGGCTCAGGACCTTGGGACAGAGGCATCTGTAATCTAAGAGCACAGCCCCTCCTCCTCCTGCTTTTAAATTCATATTACTCGAAGTCTTGGCCAGCCAGAGCCCTTGCCTTTGTGTCAGCTTCTATCTCTACAACACGTAGCTTCAACAGCTGCACAGAGACATGGAGGGTAGAAACTGTCCTGGAAGAACTGGACATAACAGATCCTGCAGTCTCTGAGGTAGAGCAGGAGTTTTGGGCTGGCAGAGTTGGCTGAGAGCATGAGCAGAGAGCACAGTAGGTTGTAAGTGCATGTCCCATGCACATTTTGCAGCCTTATTCTCGTGTCCATGAAGCCTTTGCAATGCATACTTTCTACCTGTAGGATCCCAAGCTGTGTTCTGTGCAGCAGAGCTGTGAGTTTGGCAACACTACTCCTTTCTCCCATATCCCTCTGGTAATAACCATACTTAAATTTGGATGAATGTCAGGGGGTGAGTGGCCCTCTGGGATGTGTGGGAGGTTCAGCCCAAAGTGAGGCTTGAGTACTACCAAGTATGCAAGAATCCTCTCACCCTGGATGGTGTCAGCAGTTACAGGCACTCAGAATAATGGGTATGGAAAGGCACAGCTCCCTGCCCAACATCTCAGCTTCACTCCCACTGTACCTATCTGAGCCTAGCTGTGACGCTGGGAAGTTTTGGGAGATTTAAGTAGTCTCAGAGGGTCATTCTGAAATTCTAAGTTATACAGCAGCAGAAATGTCACTGTCTGCCTGACCATGTTCCTATTCCAGCTGCAGGCAGCACTGATAGTGCCAAACCTTGCACTTGTCAGTTTTGCTGCTAAATGGCAGACAAAAATCCCTCAGAGAGGGTTAAAAATGGGGGTGGGACGGGTGGCTGCCTCAGTGACTGCATGGTCAGATTTCATTGTGAAGTGACATTATGGCATTTTGGCCTGGATTTTCTTCCCACTTCTCTAGCACCTGCCCAGAGCTCCCACAGACAGTAAGGTTCATCTTTCTCAGCTGCTCAGGCTTGGGAGGAAGGGTTGGGGGCATTTAGGTGTCTCTGAAAGCCATCACGAGTACGCTTCTCTTAACCATGGGGAGCTTTCTGGTTTGCTATTTAGCAGTGGAGGAAGAAAAAAAACTCCAGCAATGCAGGGAGAAGAGCAACAGGAAATTATGAGAAAACATCCCTCTAGGAATCTACACTCCTCTGCTGCTTCTCTCCTACTCTCTTTAATGCTGCAGTTGATGCTGATGGTCAGAAGCTGGTTGATGAAATGATGATGATTTTATATCCCAAAATGTTAGGTTTTTATTTTCAGAAACAGCA